ATTTAAGGCACCATATTGTCTCCAAGTCCTAGTAAAGTCTAGGAGAAGACATCAATAGATTCTGATTGAAAGTTTAGTGAGCAACTTCTAACTATATATTTTGGAAGAGAACACTAAAATGAATCCTTCTTGTGAGAGATTAGTGTATTTTGTTTGGTCATAGATTTTGGTGGTTTCAATACTCCTTTTCTTACTGTGCGGATCAAAAGGTTGGCAGCAAAGTCCACATAGAGGCGACTTAGAAGAAAGACCTGGCTATTTACTTCTGAAAACAAAACAAAAACCCAACCATTTAAAATCCTATGAAGCACAGTTCTACACTGACACACATAAGGTTGATAGGAATTAGAATCAACCTGATAGAAACTGGTTTCCTTACTGTCACTGACTATTCTTTAGCTATAAAACACTCTAAAATCAACTTGTGTACATGAAAATCAAGGGACAGACTTCTACCATTTGAGTGCAAACTTGGGGAAATGTTGATGCTAAATACCATTGATTGACTCATAGGGACCCTGCATATAGGGTTTTTAAAGAGCCATTGGTGGGTTTGAACTGCCTACCTTCCTGGTATGGCTCTGTGAGATAATGCACTGGATCGCAATATTGGTTTGAACTGCAGGTTGGTGGTTCAAACTCACCAGTCGTTCCTTGGAAACCCTATACAGGATCATTGAGAGTCAGAACTGACTTGAAGACACTTAACAATAACAAAAATAGTATTAACCTTCCGGTTAGCAGTCCAGTGATAATCCTACAGTACTACACCAGGACTCCAGAGGAAATATATATACATATGCACATACACACACATGTGAAAAAAAATATATATATGATGTTGTTAAGTGCTATTGAGTTGGTTCTGACTCATCGAGATCCTGTATAGGGTTTCCGAGGAACAGCTGGTAAGTCTGAACTGTCGACCTTGTTTTCTGAAGTCCAGGGCTGATCCTGGTGATGGTGGTGGTAGTGGTATGCCGTGGAGTCTGTTCCAACTCATAGTGACCCTATATAGGGTTTCCAAGGCTGTAAATCTTTATGGGAGCAGAAAGCCTCATCTCTCTCCTGTGGAAGAGCTTGCAGTTTCGAACTGCTGACCTTGAGTTTAGCCACCCGATTCATAACCACTATGCTACCAGAACTCCTACAGTTAAATATCTATATCTATATCTATCTATCTATCTATCTATCTATCTATCTATCTATCT